GACAGAACTCTGTTCCAGTTAACCTGAATTTAGGCCATAACAGTTCATCTTAACCTTAAAGATGTTCTCTTTTTCTTAATCTGATAATAAACAGAATAATCTCCATTATTTTGATTTATTTTTCTTTTAACTAAGAGTTCTTATGCATTTGATAATCAAGAGACAATGTTTATCAAAGTTACATGAGGAAGGAGAACAGATCCTTCTCTCTCATTGTGATTCAGCTATGGTATGGACTTTTCTGTTGAAAAAGAAAAAAATTGTGTAGGTCTTCTGGACGGGTTCTTCTCTAATGAAACGTTTCGTCTCTTCTCCGAGAGACTTCTTCATTTCTTTCTTTCTTGAATTTTGCCTGAAACTCTCAGACTGAAGAAGTCTCTTGGAGGAGAGACGAAACGTTTCATTAGAGAAGAACCCGTCCAGAAGACCTACACAATTTTTTTCTTTTTGATTTTTTATCTGGATTACTGAGATGCATCAGGACATGGTTGGCTCTCCTGCACAGTCTAAGCTCCACTCCATACCAATAGGTGGCGGTAATGCACACACAATAATTCGTCGACCGCCAACAAAATGCAAGAAGAAGAAAATGAGGAAGTGAGAAGGGGTTGTTGATAGGTTTGTCTTCACAGTAAAGAAGCTGCAGAATGCTTTAACGTCGGAGGGGCGCAGTTATCGAGATGAACATCTCTCCATTATAAAAGCTTGAGGTTTCAGTGAAGATGGCGTCAAACTGGCCGGAGAGGGTTGGTTGTTTTTGCAGCTGTCCGTCTGACTTCCTGTCGGGAACAAACCCTGAGGTGTTCCTGACGGAGCTGCTGAGGGAGCTCCGAGATGACAGAGTCAGCTACAACCTGAAGGTAACAAGGCTATAAAGTTGTAACTTTATATAAATTCATATAACTTTATATAAAGTTATATAACTCTGTAGTAAGACTGAACCAGCTGAAGTCAGCTTAAAAGGGTTGTTCCTACCGTTTATGCTGTGGTGTGTGCTCCATGATCAACTCTGTTCAGATATTTTTTCTTTCGTTTGTGAAACGTAAAGAAAATGATTTTTTTGTGTGTCTTACAGTGTTATGTCATCAGACAACATTAGAACAGGTGTAGTTTATAAAGGGTCACAGGTAAACAGTCCAAACCTGGACTAATCAAAGACTACAACCTTTACCATCAAGAACAATTTTTATTGTTTTTCTACAAACTAAAATCTGTCAAACCCTCATTAAGCAAATTTACACGAAGTATGAAATAAAGACACCACAAGTCATCAAAGGTCATATAAATAGAACATTATAAACACAATAAAATAAACTTAGGTTTAAAACCAAAATTAAACAACTAAAATTAACTTTTAAGTTTTGTATGTTTATGTTAAAACAAAAATAAAGAAGACCAAACTTTATAAAACTATAGAGACAAAACCTTTTCTTGTGTTTAGGTCCCTTAGACAAAATGTAAACTGTTATTTTATAACATTCGGTTTGAYATTTGTGGACAATAAATAAATAAAACAGGTATTCTACTTTAGAGTTGTAAAGCATATACTTGGATTCTACTGTTTTTTTTAAAGAATGAACTTTATAAATAAAAATACTTTGTTGAATATTTAGTTGTGTAAAATTCCTCTAATGAAGGCAGAGACCCTCACCTAAAGCTTTAATAATCAGATAGGTTTTTATCTCAGYTTGCTGTAATTAATGAAATATGTGCAAAATTAAGTTTTATCTTCTGTTTGGTGTCAGAGAAAAGTTGAATTAATGATGCAACTAAAAACTTCCTGTTTGATTCACTCAGTCAGTCACATTTCAGTCACATGTTCTAGACAGAAAAACTGCTGAACTCAGYTTTTCTTATCACAGCATTGAGTTGGACAACAGTGGAACTGGTCCTTTCAAAACCTGCAGCACTAAGACCAATCAAACATGGACTAAAGAATTCCTCTTGTCTCTGCAGGTGGTCCTGTTGATGCCCCTCTGTGAGTACCCGACCCTGCTGTGTCTGTCAGAATCTGCAGGGGAAGAGACAGCGTTGGACCTGATGTCGGTGTTCGCCCAGTGTCCACCCACGTCCACCCAGTTCCGCTGCCAGCTCCTGGTGGCCCTCACCTGTGTCCTCATCTGCTCCTCCTGTGCACGCAAGCGTTCCCGAGCGTCCCTGGACTTCCTGGACYTGATTTTTCAGGTGGCTCAGGATGTGGGTGACATCAACAACCTGCAGCGCTCCCTCCGGGCCACAGCTTGTGACTGCCTTCGAGAGCTGGAGGCCTGCAGCCCGGGTCTCCTCTCCCAGCGCCTGGAGCGCCTGGGTGAGCTGCGGCAGCAGGAGACCTCGGGGCTGCACCAGGTCTACGCGGGTCTTCAAACTGTGGTCCTTAGAAACGGAGTGTATCAGCTGAGTCGGGAACCAGGAGCGGGGGCCGAGCATCTTAAAGCTCTCCTAGGAGGAAACACTTCGGCTGTGTGGGAAGCAGAGCAGGACTCACTTCAGATGACAGGCGAAGACTCCCCTGGACTGGCCTCTCTGATCCTGGGCTCAATGGGCTCGGTGCTGACACTGCACACCGGAGCGGACTGTAAGGAACTGAAATCTGTCCTGTCCTCTCTGTTAGAGGAGTCCTACCTTCTCACCCCGCTGTGCCAGGCTGCACTCCTACACAGACTCACAGAGGTGGTTGCCATGGTACCTGGGATCACTCCGGCCATATTACGAGCTCAGCTGCTGCGACTGCTGGGAACCAGCGAGGTTAGTGTTTAAAGGTGACCTAATATGGGGGTCCTAGAACAAGTTAGGACACATCTGTGGGCTATACAAAACATGTTCATTTGATTTAATTCACAAAATGAATGTCAGATAATGAAATTTCACCTTTTCAGTTCTGCCTGTTCTTCAGCTCTCTTCAGAAMCTGCTGCTTTGCATAAGTTGCTATGGAAGCCCCCTCCCAACCTTTTGTTTACGTTAGCTCCACCCCCTGCCAGAAGTTTACATTCAGTTTCTTTTCAGTAGAAAGTACGATTTTTCCAAAGTAGTTCTTGTTGAAATTATTTACACCAGGGGTGCCCGGCCTTTTTTGAACCAAGAGCTACTTTTGAAGTCAGCAGTTTGCTGAGAGCTACTCGTCCAGTCTCAGTATATAAAAACATAATTTTTCGTCTCCCTACTCCTCTCTTCTTTAAAGTAAATAAAACAGAACAGAATGTGTTGCTAGTTTTATTTAGTTTAAAGTATTGTCAAACAAAACTATCTACAAAAAAAGAAAAGATAAAATCCTTATTTAACTCCTGACAGAGAAACAGAAAAGTGATGCTCGAACAAAAAGGATCAATTTTTTACCTCCTTCAATTAGTACTCCCTGTAACATGCGAGCTATGAGGGCTGGAAACCCACACACTGAGAGAACCACAGACTTAAATAACTTTGGAGCACGGGAACTCGTCTCCATTTATTCAAAGAATTCTCCTCTCTTTCTCTCTATACAGGGGGAGGAAAAACAAAACAAAAAACTATCAGGGTAAACATGGCTATAACAAGAGTACCGCCCCTTTTTCAAAGTCAAAGCACACAATATAAAACTCATTTTTACTATTACAAAAAGTGACTTACGATGGTGCAGATTCACAAATCTCCAACAACTATTTCAAACCTGGGGGGCCGAGTAGCAGCAGGCCCCCAGATAAACCAGCAGTAGGGGCAGCCCAGACCCCAGCCTGACAAATACCCAAACATACACAATTGCACCATCCCACCCTCATCCTCACCCGCACTCAGTCAAAGACATACAAGGACGCCACATTCCACTCATACCCCCGATACACACTCTATACCCCCCAGGTCCAGGACATGCACCGGCCCATGAGTTTGTCGCTGCTGGCCCCGGGGGCTGTGCGTGTGGTCGCTGGGGGGACTCTCCCATTTCTCCACTATGGTCTGATCTGGGGGGTGAGTGGGCGGATCTTCCCGTGCGGGTGCCCCTTGGGGCTCTGCGCTCGGGATTCCTCTCGGGCCCTTGGGCTCTGGTCTTCCCTATGTCTGCCTCGTGTCTTGGGGGTTGGGTCTCCGATCCCCCACAGTCACTATTAAATATTCCATTGGAGAAATCTTGTATGTACACGCATGTTCACAACCGCTCACAAACAGGTGTTCTGATCAGGGGGGTTCTGACTGGTCACTGAGTGTGTATATACAGTATGTCTGTGTGTATATACTGACAATATTTATGAATGTAGGCATGTATGTATGTATATCTTTATAGATGTACAGGTATGTGTATATTTTTATATATGCCCCTCCATGTATTTATCCATTTATTTTTCAGGTGAGCGGACAGATGTTGGGTGTGTGGTCCTGTGTTTTGTTGGTGTATATTTAATATATTTCTAATCTCTATTTGTCTTTCTATCTTTCTAATTACTTCTCTCTCTGTTTTTCTCTCTGTATCTATTTTCTCTTCACTTAAAAAAGTCACTGATGATGAAGAAATAAACTAATCTTTGGTTTCGTTTTCTACTGAAGTGACAAAAAAAAGAAAAAAGAAAACGGGACAGTTTTTTAACGGCAGTCAGTACAAGCAGTGGAATCGCCATCCAGGCGCCAGTTACTCCAACTGCTCCAACATGAATAACATTAGCTTGCTAATGCACACAGCGGTGCTGCTAGGCTAGGCAAGGTTATAATAGTTTTGGATTTGTCATTATGGTTTAGTTTTATGTAGTTGTGACATTTTTTCTTTTAATTCATTTAGTTTCAATTAGTTTTTAGCGTTTATCTTCTTGTTTTTATTAGTTATTGCATTTTTAATGCTTATTTTTAGTTTAGTTTTTTATTAGTTCTAGTAATAGTTTTTGTTGTAGTTTGAATAAACATATTTGCCGATGCATCCTCCAGCTTCAAGTGTTCCTGTGAGTTAACT